AGCAAAGGTCACCCAGCCTGGATCATTGCCAATCTGAATTGCATTGAAAGGGTATGGTGACAGGACATCTTCCCGGAGCCCTCTTCCGAGTGGCTCCTTGCACATTGATTTCAGCGCGCGCTTGTGACAACAAGCGAGGGCCGTTTAGTTTAGATCAGCGCTGATTTGGATTTTATTGAAACGTTATAATAATAATAATAACGGGGCAAGCGCTGATTTGAATTGTATTGAAACGCTATAATAACGGGACATTTCGCCACCTCCCATCCCCCCTCACAAGAGCCCCTCATGCCCCGCGTGCCCTCGCCCCCCCCTACTTTGTCGACGGTCCCTCGTCATGTACCTTACGAAAAAAATGGAGGGGAGAAAACCTCCAGGTCCAGAAACGGCTGCCTCACTTGCCGCATTCGGCGTAAGGTGCGCAGTCTAATGTTCTGCATTCTGTATTCCACATTCCACACACTCAGTACGCCCCAGAAATGCACTGAACTGAAGGACCCTAAGGGATTCTGTGAGGCTTGTAGTCGCCTTGGTGTCGAGTGCTTGGGATATGCAGAGAAACGCCCGGTTTGGATGAAGGTATCAAGCCCCTCCCCATCTCATTTTGATTAAGTTGACGGGATAAGCACCATCTGTTTCCGGCGTAGGATCATGCTAAGCTTGAGGCCTGTAAGAAAGAAATCGGATCTTGGTTGGCAGGAAGACGTTCGCAGAGCTCGAAAGGTATGCGTTATCTATCTGTCGCTGTCGGACAAATTCGGAAAGAAAAATTCCGGTGTAACAGTCGGGCACTTGTCATTGGCGCACTATTATGGGGATGAAGTGCCCGAGTTGCTGCACCACATGCCAAAGGTTCACCGTCAAGGCCGAAAAGAGGAAACCCTGTTGTGGACCGCTGGATCCGACTTGGAGCGAGACAAGCCCCAAGACGAGCCTGTGAATGAAACCAGCGACCCTCCAGATGAGCAGAACCATTTTGCAGTACAAGGCTCCGAAGTGCCTCTGCTGCCTCTCCCTCACCACCCCACGTCCGCCGCTCACAGCATCCCCCACCCACATCCCCGAAGCTCAGGCCATGTCTCTGCATGTGGTCCAGGAATCAAACCGTTTTCCCATGGCGGCTCACTTGTACCGGCCAGTCAGTTAGATCCAGAGAAACGAGACGAACATGTGAACGAACCCAGCGACTCCTTGGATGAGCCTGAGGTGCTGCGGGGTCTTAGAATGCCTCCACTACATCCCCATCCCCATTTTACGTTTTTCACTCGGAGCATATCTTGCCCGCTTTCGGGAAACGAACTCTTCACAGACGCCTCTCCATCTCTAGTCGCCTTCCGTGAGGATGGACCTCAGGCTCGTATAATCGCTCGTGAAGCCGAAGCCGCGGAACCATCTGGTTTTCATCATCAACGGAGCGATCGTATGGTCCCGTCTTCTCCTATAAGTTTTCCTCCTTTAGGAAACCCACAAGAACAGTTTACCACGAATGCTCATAACTTCGTACCTCCCTTTCCGGGATCAGCGGGTTCTCGATCACTCACATTTGATCCCCGTCCCAAGTCCATAATTAATGCCGCGGAGGACGAGCACCTTGCCGGCGTCCACCGGGGGTTGTTGATCGGCGAGAGTGAACAACTGTTCAAATTTTACGACTCTGTGCCTGCGGGTACTGGGTTGACGGACTCCGCTCGCCCCAATAACTATGTGAACCAATCACTCTCTGACAGCAAATTACCATATTTGAACACCTCTCTCCCTTCACCTCAGGCACTCACATCGTCGGTGCAAACCGAGCCCCATTCAGTTGCACCCACCCTTGAATACGATCTCATATTGAGGATTACCAGTCTTCTTAACCGAATACAGCCGCCTGGCCTAACTGGACTTCTGTTTATGGTTGATGATGAACGCAGAGTTCAGTTTTGGAGAAACCATGTCAGGGAATATCCATCTTGCCTTCCAGATAGCTTCTTCGGGGCTCCAGCATTTTCCCCGCTGGGTCAAGATATCCGTGTGCCCGCCGTTGCCCCAACTTGCGCGGTGGAATTGGGATTCTTTCGGGCAAAGACCTAGCAGGATTCTCGCTATCGTGGATCGATTGAATATTCCATACCACCCGATCCGTGTAGTTTTCTTGATTACGACATGTATTGTGCTGCCCTTTTAATGACTGTTGTCTGTAATTCGTTCCAGTCCCGACTTGACAGGTGTCAACTCAAAAAATCCGCAATGAATGTATTAATGAATACCTTAACCACTTCAGCCTAACAAGATTACTTGCTCGTCCAATAACATGGTGATTGATGATGAGGATGATAATGATTTCATTTTATAGTGCGTCACTGCAGGTCGGCATACGCCGCACTTACCTGAAGTGAGAAGGCGTTTTGGGGCGAGGTGTTCGTAACAGAAGCGCGGGGGGTGCGTATCCATAGGATCTCGGTTATGAGTTCGTGGGAGCGCAGGAGCTGTTCTCAGCTCACACATCGTGCTTATATACATCTCTGAGTAGCACAAAGGGACAAAGCAATAACAACAATGAAACCTTTAGCTTTGTCTTATGGTGGCAACATATTGTTGACTACCCAACCATCGGCACGAAGGGCATCGGAATGCCATGTCAACAGGAGCTAGGGAACATGGTGGTTGTTTGTGATGCCTGGTCGCCTTACGGTCACAGGATGAGGAAACCCGTTTTCATTGTCGGCATATCGGCGTCAAACTGCGGGGATATCTGATCATGAGATTGTATTTTTTCTATCGGCGCCTTTGTCGCTGAAAGTATTTGGGACCGTCGTGGAGAGTGATTAACGTTTTAGGAAACTGACTCTGACCAACAAGCGTGTTACACTGGCCCACGTAGGGGTCCTCGGCTTTGGGACTCTCTCAGTCGGAGAAGGAAGCATCACCATGCCAGCGTCATTCGATCTACTTGTCCTTGCCGCTGACAGCTGAGCAACTGGCAATGCTCTGCGGCGGCGGCTTGCCCTTTCGCTGACATGTCTCCAGCTGGCTGTCTGAGGCCGGGAACGCAGGGACAACTGTAGTTGTAGGGCTATCCATTGTAGTACATGCAGAGCCAGGCCCATTGGATGGCGCCTGGGACTTGTGGGTGATGAAGATTGTTCATTTTGAGGAGCCTGGGCACATTCACCAAAATTTACCGCGTCTTGACCTTTGAGTTGGTCCGTGAGCTGGCAGTAGCATTGGCATCAATGGGTACCTCAGGTAGCAGAGAAGATCGGGAGACATGCGAGGGCACAGCAAGCTCAGTCATTCAGTTTGAAAGCCGCATACTCAAGAAATTCCCCATATATCAATGAAACACCATAACTAATTACTTAAGCATACAAGATTAGTTGTTCGGCCCCGGGGTAAAAAGAACAGTGAGGTCCATGCGAGTCACGGTCCAGCGCAACGTTGGGATATGACTAAGATGTCCGGTCGTCCCGGTCTTCATCCCGAGCCATTCTAATGAACCGTCGCTGACGCTCGGACAAGCTGTCTGGGAATACAACGTTCCACCTAACATTGACATATCAGCACGGTTCCTCTATTCAGACGGGGTGATGACTCACCGAATTGTCAAATCTCCTTGTCCGACGACTTGGGAATTCTTCCGGATCGGCATTCCCTTGCCTGGAATCCTCGTGACGTCCCCAGGTCTGATAAGACCGCCTGCAAAGTCGACGTCCACAATGATATCTTTGCCATCCAGACCCTGGATAACGTGGCGAGTTTCTGAAAGGGCGTCAAGCAATGAAATGTCAACAGTCGTGTACAAATTCGAGCCCTCCCGACGGAACCGAGGATGAGGAATTTCATCCACGATGAAGATAACATCCTGTGGTGGCTGCGGCGGAGCTCGTTCATTTCCAAGTCCAGCGAATCGTATCTTCGTGCCCTTGCGCCAACCAGGCTTCACCTCGATGTCTATTATCACATCACATCAGATAGTGATCTTTGGCCTTATCATCGCAAGAACCACTCACCAACATAGGACTCCTGCGTCTGACCAGTTAGTAGGTACCTGGTTACTCGGTATCGAAGTTTCGCGCCGGTGTACAGAGTGTCCAGTGATACATGGAGAGGATAGTGCCATTCGGCAGGTACAGCTCCGTTCGAGGCAGTGATCGGTGGGATGGAAGGTGGGGATGAAATAGTCTTCCCGTTCTTCATAGTTCCCAGCTCTCCAGTGGCTGTCGATGGGGCTGGAGTCGCTGCGCCATCATGAGATTCTGAGCGTCTGGTTTGAAGGCGCTCCTTGCGTCGAGCACGGCTGGGAGACAAGTTTGAGATAGACACACTATGAACGATCGAACATATACTTACTTGTTTGAATCTGCCGGTCCTCGACTAAACTCGTTATCTGAATCAGCAGGTGTTTGAGGATTTGGCGTCTGGTCATAGGGTGTGGCTAAAACAGACTCGTTGACAGGGTTCACATTGCTCTTGGGAATTCGGGCACTAAAGGAAGGGCCTATAGGGGTGTTCGGCATGATCGTGCGGAAGCCATCGTCCGTCGGAGTTGCTGGAACCGTGTTGGCTTCAGGATTTGGTGGAGGGGGTTGGGGAGCCCGTTGTTCAGTTGGATGCGATTTTTGGGTAGGACCGGTAGGAGTAGCAGGCGTCTCTGGTTCCTTCTGAGGTTCCTGGGAGGCTTCAGACTCCTTAGGCTCTAGAAGCACTCTCGGAGAGGATGGACGGATGGTCCCAGCGGGACTCGACGGAGCTGGAGTATTGTCTTCGGGGGTAGCCGGGACGGGGTCTGCTGCCGCACTGAGAGTCTGAGAGCTGGCGGGAGGCACGGTCGTGTCCGTAGACGGGGCATCGGGTGTGGGGGCCACGGCTTCACTATGGGCGGGTTCTTCATCAGTAGGTGCGTCATCGGCTGAGGTTGTGGTAGTCTCCGCGGGGTTGGAGGTAGGTGCAGGTTCGCTGGGCGTTGTAGATATGTCCGGGAGTGGGTCTTTCGGTGGATCCGGAGGAGTGTCTGCAGAGGATGGTTCATGGGCATCGGGAGCCGCGTCACTAGGAGCCGCAACGGTGGGTTCTGAGGTAGGGTCACCTGGAGTTTGCTCCTCTTCGGGCTGAGGTGGTACATTGAGAGAATCAGTGGTATCCTCTGGCAACGGGTCAGCAGTAAGGTCAGCATCGATCGTAGTGGAGGGTTCGGGGGCAGGGGCTGCAGCACTTTCTACAGGTGTCTCGATTGCCTCGTTACTCTGAGTCCCACCGACCGAGTCGTCATTGGCCTGTGTTGGGACCTCAGTTGTAGGAACCGGCAGATCTTTATCGCTAATCGCTTTCTCGGCTTCGGAACCAATACCACGAGTTGCATCTTCTACTTCCTTAGGCTCCTGCTCCGGTTCCCCCTCATGCACAGCTAACTGGCCCGCATCCACATCAGGCGTGACTTCATCAGATCCAGACTCCACTTTTTCCCTGTCGGCACCAGTCTCATCGTTGCCATGCGGTCGCTCAATACCCAAGGGGGTCTGCGTCTCATCCACGTCCTTGGTCTCCGCGTCGGCGGTCGCGACGTCCGATTCCGTTGGGCCGGGTCTCTCCTCTTGAAGAGCCTGGTCTTGGATGGGCGTTGTCAAAGGTGGAGTTGCCTCGTGTGGATCTGCATTCCTGGAAGTAGCTGCGGTGACATCGGCAGCATTCGCATCGGGTGCATCACTAACAGCAAGAGTCCCAGCTGGGCCATCGCCCATTTCCGTCTCCTTTTCCTCATCGCCCCCCTCCGACTTCTGCTTCTCCGGCTCTTGTTGTGGCTGCGGCTGCAGCTGCTCCTCGTTCTCGCCACTCTTCTCCACCGTCTCTTTCTCAATTCCCTCGTTCTTCTCATCTACCTTCTCGATGTCCTCCCCATCCCCCTTCTTTTCGTCAACACTCCTGGTGATCTCATCCTCTCCAGGCTCCTTTCCATCTGCCTTATTGTTACTCTCCCCGTCCTCCCCGTCCTCCCCACTTGCCTTCTCGATCTTCTCCCCGTCTCCCTCATCCTCAGTCTTCTCCTTCTCGATCTTCCTGTCCTCATTCTTGTCTGCTTTCTCCGTCTCCTGGCTAGGGGTAACTGGTGACGGCATCGCAGTAGCGTCCTCGTGCGTTGCAGTCATTGGAGACGAGACTTTCTCCTCGGCAGGTCCAGATGTTTCAGCACCACTCTCCTCCTGCTTCTCTGCACCCGCGGGAGACTCGGGTGCAGTCTGCTGGGGAGAGGGTGGGTCATCGTCGGCGGGGCTTGTCTGGTCAGCCGGTGGGGGCATAGAATCCTGAGCCGGGGCCTCGTCGTGAGAAGGTTCGACAGGCGAGTTTTGAGGGATGTCGGAAGGAAGTGGGCGAGTCTCTGGTCCTAATTCCGAATTAGATTTCTCCAGAGGAGTCTCGGGTTCAACGGCTTCCTTTAAAGGCGAGGTAGGAGTCTCAGTGACAGGAATGGTCGTAGGAGGGACTGTGGCAGGCACTGGGTCTTCTGGACGCGTTTCGTGCTCTGTAGATGCGGTAGGAGAGTCGGGGAGAGGGGTACTCAGAGTAAGATCCATCGAAGGGGATTGAGGCGGTGCAGACACTTCCGGACTCTTTGATGAGTCCTCAGCAACGGCAGTCTGCGCTGCTTGCGAAGGGCTAGCAGGAGATTCTTCGGCACGCTTAGAGTCCGTCGGAGATGGGTGTTCCTCAGCAGCTAATTCAGCAGGATCCTGTGGGATGACCGGTTCCTCGTCCTTCGCAGTAAATTCATTCGTTTGGTCCGTCGGGATTTCTGTCTGAGCGTCATCGACAAGGTCGTCTGCAGGCGATGGGTCGGTTTTGAGAGCATCTGCTTCGTCGACAGGTGGTGTCGCCGTCAACGGAGTTATAGGAGCGAAGTCATCTCCATCACGGTCAATTGTTGACATATCAGAAGGAGTCTTGTCGTCGTCGTCATCCCATTGCATGTCGTCACTGTCGCTATCCTGTGCATCTCTGCCGATCTGTGTGGTAGGATCCAATGGTGGGACGATATCCTGCTTCTGGTCTGCTTTGTCGTCGGAGGCATCTGGAGTAGTCACAGCCTCATTCTCGGCTGGCGTTGGTGGGACTAGCGTCTGGTCAACAGGGGTCTCAGGAAGAGGAGTGACCGGTGCGGAGGTTTCTGGTTCTGAAGCTTTCTCAGTTGGCTCGGAAAGCGTCACTGTATCAGTGTCAGCCTGCTGGTTTTCATCTGTCGCAGTAGAAAGTTGAGCATTGGTCGTGGCCTCTGTTGGCTGTGAGGAAGCCTCTTCCGCTGCTTGCAGACCACCTGGAATTGGAGACGTGGGAGTGACAGTGGATGCAGGGTCATCCATCATGGGAGTCGCGGAACCTGCCCCTTCGGGCGGCTCCTGAGCGGCAGAATTCGTGGGTGATGAAGATAGTTCTTTTGGAGGAATCAACTGAGAGTCGGACGCATCCGCCGAATGTTGCCGCATCTCGGCTTCGGGGTCGGTCGACGAATTTGTAGTGATCTCGGCATCAACGGGAGTCTCAGGAGGCGGGGTAGGATCTTGGGCATCGTTTTCAGAAGATGCAACGGGAATGCCCGATGCACCTTCTTCAGAGGCGGGCTCCGGAACATCAGCAACAGGCAGAGCAACAGGCGGGTCCGGCTCCGCATTAGGCTTCGGGACAGATGCGGGTTGAGAATCATCCACTGGGGGATCCGGCGTTGTAATGTCCTTTTGGGCCTCATCCACAGACGGCTCAGCCACTTTCAGTTCGGGTTGGGGTGCCTCTTGGTCACCTTGTGACTCCTGCGACGGCAAAGGCGCACCTGGGGCTGCATCCGCAGGCTTCTCGGTTACAGGTGTCTCCGGAGGATCCTCTGCCTCCTTGGTCTCTTTGGTCTCCACTGGCGGTTTGGGATCCAGCAGTTCTGCCTTCTGAGCAGGAAGTTCTGTGAGAGCTGCTTTTGGTGTTGTCTCAGCCGTTTGAATTCCAGAATCATCACCCAGAGTGTCGGTATTTTGCGTTTGCGCTGCAGGTGGAACCGGGGTCGTCGGAGTCTCGGGTGGTTGTCCAGCGAGTGCATGTTCGTTGTAATACTGCGTAAACGGCGTCGGAGGAATATAATCGGCGGTAGGCGGAGCGTCTCGTATTGTGCTTTGGTCAAAGTCAGACCGACCGTGCAAGTTCGCGGCCATCGAAGGCTGAGTGTCTTGACGTGCAGTGGAGTGAGGTGTTGGAGTCACCGGACGGGATGTAGAAGGAAAGGAAGGATCGGGGTTGAAAGTGTCTCCAGTTGGTGGCAATTCCAACGGAGATGGTTCTAGGTCGTGAGAAAGATCAGTCTCATGGATGGAGTCGTACAATGCGCGACTGTCTGGGTTGGACAAGATCATGTAGGCTTCATGTGCCTGCCGAGGAATTCGAATAAGCCATCCTTCACCGAAAGTTCAGTTTATTGCATAAGGACATACCTCCATGAACCTTCGAGCTCGTTGCTCTTTGTTCGTAATGGAGAGGTCGGGGTGCCATACTTTTGCCTGCCATGTTCATCTGATCAGAATAGTGTGAAGTGGTCCCAAGCGTAATGAGGCGTACCAAAGACCGATAGGCATACACAATTTGCCGAGCTGTGGCGTCGCGGTGTACGCCAAGGACTTCGTAGAAATCCCTCGGGATGAGAGATGGGCGAGCAGGTTGCTCGAGTGGCATTGTGTCGATGTATCCGAAGGTTCAACGCCAATAACCTAGTGGAGGTTTCCGTTGTCAAGCCTAGAAAACTGAATCAGAGCGCGTGTACGGTTGCCAGAGTGAGCAAAGGACTGTTCTACGTGTTCAGTGTTCCAAGAGGTATGGCAAAGAGCAGGCAAGGTCTGGATGCTTTGGAAAGATATAGGATACAGGCGAAGAAGGAGAGTAAAAGATGAGGATGCCGTGCATATATGGTGTGGATGTGGTGCGCTTGGAGTGTCAACTGAAAAGTACATGAGGCTGCCTCAAGGCATCAGGAAAGCTTGCCAGAGCCTTCCGGAAGTAACGGATAGCTACATTTTTGGGTGTGGACATTCTTCAAACCCCGGAGTAGCATGGCTCTATCAATCCCGCAAGTCTCTGATGCTGATATAACCGTCATAAGCCTGTTCTGCGCCGTGAACCCTGAGAGGTCACATGACTGCGCACAGACGAAATTCGCTTGTTTTCTCTCACGACTTTTTCGGCGACAAGGGCTTAATTGATCGTTTACAAAGCACCCCACCTGCTTATTCGCCGTCCTGGAGTGCATCACACACAAGCGCCCCGGGGAGGCATCTGTAGCGGCACACCACCAAGTTCCACGCTAAAGCTGCGAACATGAAGCAACAACGGCAGGTGACTCGCAGCTTGGTTGCCACATGGCCCTTGATGATGCAACCATTGAACCAATGTTGAAACTGGGTTTCTCGTTACCGCTTTCGACCAAGGTCTTTCCTTGAGCACAGGATTTGTTGCTGCTCTCAACAACTTCCAACGTTGGTCCTTCAGAATCAAACTTTCCCTGAGATAAGTGTACCTGAAGCACTTACCGTCAGACCTGTACAGGCTCACTAACCGATAATATCCCCGCGCGGATCAATTTAAAACGTAGCAGGTGATGTAACTCTTATAACCAATTAGATGATACATAACATTACTGGTGATGCGCGCGCACCAACCAACGTTGACTTTCCGGAGGGTGACACCTGTCAAACTTGTGACACGATCCCGAACACTTATAACTCTAGACCATTCGGGCACTCACCTACCAACCGAAGCACCGCCATCGACCGGAATACCGGTGCACGCGCAGCTTCTGCCTCGCCTGAAGCGATTGAAATAAGTGGTGAGAGAGAAAAGGAAAGTTCAAAGTCCGCTCGCCATCTTACACTGGTCCATCCGCCTCATTTTCCTCTATCTTTATACTACAACCGCGAAGCTACACAATGTTTCAAGTGATGGATGGCTGGCGGTGCTCCAACTTCCCAATTCGAGTTAACCCGGACCCAATCGCTGAAAAGAACCAAAAGGCCTGTGTAAAAAGGCAAATCCATCATATCCACACGTTTCAAGTTATACCATACAAATCAGTTACATCGCGTGCGCGCGGCCGCTGATGAAGCAATAACAATGCACTAGCTACACCATTTCTAGATATATGTTGTCGATTATCACAAGCCACAGTTCGACTTGGAGGATACGGAAAAGATCCTAATACCACAACACTTGAGAGTAACCTCAAGAAGTCGCAGCTTCATTGTCATTATCATTCCATTCAAGGCGGTAGGACAAGGGTACCACGAGGAAGAAGCATCGAAAGCAAGCCCCAACTTGCATATGCGGTAATGGTGGTTAGGGAAATGAGGGTGGGATTTATCGTGGCATCATATCTTGCACGTACCATATTGCAAAAAGTTGGTTGGTTATCTGAGAAACAAGATGTAGTGTCCGCAACGGACAGGATCATGTAACGGGAAAAAAATGCACAAATAAGTTAGGGAGGTAGTTGTAACAATAATCGAGTGGGAATTGGGTCCTCCCTTCCCAAGCCCACCGTTTTATGAGAGATAGTACCGTGATAGCAAAGCGGAAAAACACAGGACGTAGGTGGCGGAATAGAAGGGGTGAAGGGGTGAAAAGAGCGGGAGTGTACGGATGTAAGTCAGCGAGGGTAAAGGACGCGCCCTCACAGGGATTCAACAAGAGGTTGTTGACCCTCAGCTGACCGGGAAAGATTTTTCGCAAGTTACGAAGCGACATCTGTGTGAAAACCCCAGAAACATTTAGCAGAGTATGACGCGCACCCGGAGCGCCATCAAACCATCAACAACTCGAACTTCATCTCGTTCATCACATCCCTCCAAGCCACAGCCTCACCCGTTGAGTCCCTCATGCCCCAAACAGCTTCCATCAACTGGAGCGCGGTAATGGTGTTCCCCACCGTGTTACCTAGACTTCTCAGTCGTCCACCAAAGAACGTACGTAAATTTAGATCATCTGTCATGCATCCAGCGAGGCAGATCGGAAAAACTAGGCTTCTGTCGACCTTGTTTACCATGTCGAATGGCACAGCTTCCAATGATAGCTTTAGGGCTGCGACAGCGTCTTGGGTGTGCGACACGGAAGGGGAGTATCCGGAAGTGACCGTGCTCAAATACAAAAGTGCGGCCTGCCGGAAGATTTCGGAAGTAGGATACGTGTCGGGCACGTTGGGATTGCTATGAGTGAAAGGGTATGCAGAAGAGGAGGATGACTCCATCGAAAGCTCAATAAAGGGTGAGATGGGCTGAGTTGAGCAATCGATCGAGAGGAGTTGTTTGCGAAGTTTGTGCGAGCGAAGGATAAAATCGCTATGTGCAACTTCACGATCGTAAGGCTCCATAGTGCTGAGCTCATCGTGGTACTTGTTGTGCTCCAAGTTGACTATAGCTGAGAGGCAAAACATGACCTCATCACAGCATCCGTTCGTTGACAGGAAGAAGTCTGATTGACCGGGGGAATAGTTTAACAGGTGCTCATACAAGCGAGAAAACCGCGGCGGGCGAAGAAGTGTTATTCCCGAGAAAATGTCCATCCTGTTCAGGCACAATCGTCAGCCGCTCGAGGTGCATCTGAAGATTCGGTACTCACCACATGGTTGTTCGGGCAGCAAAACGACCTTCAGGATTTAGTTTGTATATCGTCTTGAGCGGCTCTGGACCACTGCTCAAGATGCCGCTATTCTTCTCATACCAATCGCACGCTACGTCGAGGGCTTCAAGCCAGCCTGAACCCCCGCTTTTCCCCCCTTGCCAGCCACCTTGGAACAGCCACCAGGAGATCAAATGGAGTGCTGCAGTGGCCTCCGCTTCGGTCAAGGAACGGCCACTTTTAACTATCGAATTAAGTTCGTTCTGCGCCCTATTGAAATAGAGGTCATGGGAATTGGACGTGCGCAAATGGCCAATTATGCCCCCTTCAGCAGCGCGCATCCGTGCATCATGCAATGACGACAAAGCGATAATAGCACTGGCAACAGACCCGTGAGGGTTTCTAGTGATGAACGAATGCATTGTATCGACCGAGGTACGATCGTAAATGTACTGCATCTGAGATACGCGCGAAAAGTAATAGAAGATGAGGTCCTCTTGATTTTCGGCCAATGGAGTCGGAGGCACCAAGCAGCGGATCTTGGGGACATGGTTGAATGCGATCAAGCCGGAGAAGTCGTTGTAAGAAGACGGACCCTCCAAGCTCTGGGTCACCATTGCCGCGGCCACTTGGGGATCGAGTCCCCATTCGACAAGCATCTGGAACTGTCGAGTCATGTCGGAGAAGTAGTCATTCGTCACAGCCGAGTAGCTGTCATAGGTATTGGGGATCGCAGGAATCTCAGCTGGCATGAAAGGTACTAGGCCTTCCAAAGAACCGTATGGGTCGTTCACCACACTAGAACCAATTCCTATAACCCCCCCTGAATCTGCAGCGCTAACGTCTGTGTGGGAGTCCGTTAGACTTGTACCTATTGAGCTATAACATCTGACAAACCTAGCTCTTGAGGCATTAAGCTCGTCCGCACTTCGGGAGATGTAATGGGGCTGGTAGGATGATCAGAGGCATCAGTCGTATTCCAGGATGTGAAAGTCGTTGTCGGGGATATTGGCGATTCGGTGGTGGATGGGAGTTCGATGTTATGAGAAGGATCAACGCGGACACTCTCCCCGTTTGAGATATCAGGGACAACGGTTGGGGGAGGGGCTACCTCATCCGAAGACGAAGGGGTGCTTGGCCGCCTTAGGTAAGGCGTCTTCGTCTGTTCCTTTGGCTCACTGGAAGTCGAGGATTCCGGAGACTTTGGTCTGCGTGGCCTCCTTCTGCGCACCGAAATCGCTTCTCCAGTCTCGGATTTGTGCACGCCTCGCACGAGACCTTGGGCGACAAGACGATTTTTGATCTGCGAAGGATGAGTGAGTGTGAGAATTATGACAAACCACAAACGAGAAAAGGTGCTCACAAGTTGGCGCTCATGCTCTAAACGAGCTTTGTCCTAGCATAAATGAAGCGATGAAACGATGGGCAATGCATGGTGGAAAACGACTCACTCTCATCCAGTCAGGGCGTTTGTTGCCAAAGCCCAAGCAATCCAAGTTCAGACGGGTGCAGGTGTAACATGAGCCATCGGGACTTCGTTGAGTCTCGCATTTCTGGTGGTAAATGGATGCAATCAGAACATCGGTACCGAGGGAGGCCCAGACCACGTTTCGCCGCGACTGATGATATATCAAGGAGAAGATTCTCACCTTTCTTCGCATCCGGCAGGTAAGGCACCCGTCTTTTCCTCTCTGGCGCTTTTCCTTGGCTTCATCTTCAACTGGCGCGGGGGCTCTGGGCTTGCGCTTTGAAACTGGGGGATCATTGTCTGGAGAGACGTCCTTTTTGGCCACTGCCTTTGGCATTGAATAAGTGGATATAGATTAGGTGCGGGTACAGCTTTGATAGAAGGCGGTAAGTGCTATTAGAAAGATAGTGAAAAAGAAGTGAAAAGATGAACTCTTTGCGTGAAGCCCTAAGGGTGGATGCGGCCGATGGGGGGGCACTCGTCCGTTTGGACGGCCTGAGTTCCAAAGGAACCTATAGAAGTGTCACAGATATGTGACTTTGTGACATCTGTATTCAGTTGTGACGACTCTATTCGGCCAATCCCTTCAATACATTCACAAATCCCACGAGGCAGATGGGCGCTTGTTTGCAGTGCGCATCATGCTTGGAGTGGCTTCTGAGGCCCGGAGTTTGTGTTCCGAGAGGGTAGACCCCTTATTGAGTATAATGGCTTACTCATTTAGCCAAGTGGTGGCGTGAGGTCCACGTCCATTGGACTTCGGCTGACGAATCAAGGGTCGAGTCTTATCAAGCAACGTTGAACAATGTGACGGTTTCCGGCTATTACTTGCCCCACTTTTTCCCGCACATGAGGAACGTTCGCAGCGATCGCTGCATAGTTGTCACTTGGACGTATAGGTTGTTCTATGTCTCTGTCTCTGTCTTGCATCTCGTGCTGTTCCCTTTAGGAGAGAAACTGATGCCAGTCTCAGTCTTACGGCTTCTTGGTTCGAATTCCAACGCTTTTTGATTATAACTGCGCTCGTGTAGGAGGATAGTACCACACCCTTTGGGCAAAAAAATTTCACTCATCTATTGATTTTCTTGCCTTGGCATGTCTGCATCTCCAATGACTTCGTTCTTCGCCTCAGCGACCGGCCTATCCCGAGTATGTTGTGGCTTCTTCATGATCAATTGCCCGCATCAGTAACTTTTTTCTTTCCAAATCTCCAACATGATGATATTGTTCAATCTAACCTTCAAACTTTGCAGCCTGCACTGGCACGCGCAACACCTTCCCAGAGCTTGGTGCTCGTCAAATCACTTTCCCATCGGGCAGGAGCAGGCCAGAAACGCAAGTTGATACCCAGGATCGTTGCCAGAAACATAGCCAAGGCCCTCAAAAAATGGAAACCATTTACTCCACGAGCCGTGAGTTTCAAACTTCCTGTATTGGAGCCACTGATTGATCCATGTGCCTCTTTCTTATAGGCTAGCAGTGACTGCTCCGAGTGCAACGTTAGTTTCCCATCAGTTACAGATGTGCAATCGCACGTAAGCTGTCCTTTCTCTTATCATTTTTCACGTTTCATGAATTGTTTCACACTGACATCACTTTCATTTAGACTTCCCCTGAGGATTTCACGTTCGCGAGCACTTCTTCGTCAGAAGTCTCAACCCCCGATGAATGCAAGACTCCGCCTCACGCTATTGAGATATCCTTCTCTCTCCCATCAGTCTCCATAGCATCAAGCGATTCTGAAAGCAGCGCTGTGAAGGTATATCAAATATTATACAGACTTGATTAAAGATAGGATTTCAACTGATTTGTCAACACTCATTGCGTCCCAGGACACTGACTTGCTTGGGGAATTTGAGCCTCTCACGAACCCTCATGCTATCAAACGTATCGATACCCACGACATTGACATAGATGACGTTATCCTTAAAATGAAAGTTTTAAAGGAGCCAGAGCTTCCAGAGACCCCTTTCTCCTCCTTCAGCGCTTGGGAAATCCCGACTATCCTGGTCACGCCTTCTACGCCAACAGACTCCGTTGAAACGTCGTCGCTATTTCGTTCCCTGCTTCCTGTCACGCTGCCTCCTCCGTCTCCTACTTTGGTGCCTGCACTCGCACCAATGCGCCAGCCTCCGGTTCTTATAGATATTGCCTCCCCGCACGCCAAGGATGCCTTATCCTTGCCTAACATCTGCATCAACCAATGGGTTTTACTGTGGCGCCTTTACGTCCTTGAACAGTCTGATGATGATCTGTTACGACCTGTTGAATCACCATGGGAGGTGGTTGAATTTCCTGGTGCGGATATGGTGTTTAAATACATGTTTACTGTCGCATTACTTTTACTCCTCGTTTTCCAAGACCATTTCTTCCAGCTCATGCGCTCCCTCATTGTTTCTTGATGATATCCAACTTCCTGTACACATTTTTATCTTTTCGTCATTTGTTCTCGTGTATGTATGAAGTCCAAATATGGAAACTTTCGATCAGGTAACTTCAACTCATTTTTGAATTGCGGATTGAATGCTGCAATTCAAATTTTGCATCCGCCTGTCCCCAGTCCGTCCTCGTAATTTCTCCGCCGTCTCAAAATCCTTCTTCTCCCCTACTTTCGTTCCTTCTGGCGCTACGGGCTCGCGACGCTGAGAGTTCCTCGCTCTCCTTTGAGGTCCTGTCGTCGATCACACTTTCCCTTAAATTTTGGTTGGAGCCTCTTTCCCTGCGAGGAAAACTGGAATTCACCAGCGAGCCTGTTTGCGAAATCCGTAACGACCGAACGACGTCAATTATCGCTGTTTAACGCCCTTGAGGATTGTGCCCGGACCTAACATTGTAATTCTTGCAGCAAATTATAATGTCGGCAGGAGCTGTACCAGAAGCAGTCGCTTCAAAGCCGTCGACCGGTCGACGTTCGTTTTCGAGTTTTCGTGCGAGCAGCGTTGTGCCTTCCTCCATATCTATTCCCACGTTTTCTCTGCATTCGGGTCATGGTAATGATAATAGGTCTGCATCAGGTCTGATGGCTTCTAGGGCATCAATCCAAATGGGAGAGAAAGATCGTCTCTCTGTACTTGTGGATGGGTCGAATGTCAACACACCTCCTTCATCGAGCGGAGGCAGTGGAAGGGCTTTGTCAGGGAGCATTAGGTCATTGAAGTCTAAATTTTCTCTGGGGTCGTCGTTGATGACACCGCGGACGACTTCGGGAAGTTTGCGATCCAAATTCTCATTTGGAGGGCCATTCTCTTCGAAAAAAGGGAGTAGTGGTCATGCGAACAGCCCAGCCCCGAATTCTCCTGCTTCCGGATATGGGCAGGAAATTATACGTGAAGAAAGTCTGGTGTTGAATATTGGACCACCGCCATCGTTGTCATCATCTCGTAGTCTTGACCTTCCGACTATGATTCAGGATTCTCCAGACCCCAAGGCTCCGTTCAATCCCAACTTGTCGAGTATTTTGTCAACACCTACTCCGACATATTCCGCTCTTGGGCGAGGTTTACCACAATCACTGATGGCTTCGACGTCCTCTTCTGTTGCTCCCCAGACACCGTTTACGAAGCCTTCTGCTCTTCCTGCTGCAACACAATCAACTCTCAACATTCGAAATGCTTCTCCTGTACCATCATGTCCCCCATCAGGTGAGCTATTTTACACTGTTCTATCTTGGCGGACGTTTATCCTGACGACCTATTTGTTTAGCAATAGAACCACTGGATCTAAGGCCTCGTCAAGTTAACTTCGTGGAACACTCACGCATCTCAGAACAGACGGAACCGGAGGCGTCGTTCAATCTCGGCGAGCCGATACAGCTCCAGCCTAGGCGCACCTCACCGAAGGGCACTGCTAAAGTGTCATTTGAGGAACAAAGTTTGAGAAGCGAAGCTCAAGTTAGTCGCGAGCTCAATCTTGGGACTCTCGATGCAGAGGATTCACTCATGAAGCTTGATATACCACCTATTCCGTACTCTGGGTCGACACTCTCGTTGGCTAAAGGATTGGAGGAAGCTGGATTGGATTCAAGCGCGGTTGCAGCTCCTCTGGCTGACAGTAGCGAGGGATGCGATGACGATGAGCAGCAATCGGCCCAAGGAGAACAAGAGGAAAGGCGGGACAGCGCTGCCTCGAAACTTCCTCTTGAGCAGACACATATTAGTCCTGATTTGGATGTGGATGATGATTTGGCTGTTGTTTGGAATCCTCGTCACCCACTTGGGGATTCTAGATATATGGCAGGAATGACAACAGCAGGAACAAACCTTTCGTCATCTCCAAAGAGGAAGAGTCTTGCTTCCTCTACACGGAAGGATCTTACGATTGTTGTTTCATCTACACCCATTAAGTCCAGAACCTCGGTGACACACCGAACCGCGAGAAGCGCTATGCCCAGAGAACTAGGTGTCACAGATGAGAATTCACTACGCACATCAACGGCTACACCTCCTTCCGTGTCTGAGAACGATGAACCTGGAGGGATCCGCAGGGGTGGTAACCCTAGCACCTCACCGCGAAAGACACGACATGATACGAACAATTACCCTCGTCCCACTGTCTCTTCTCCTGCATCGTCTTCCTCCCCCACATCCCCTGGAATCCGAGCGGTACCCATGGCAGCGAAACGCCCTTCCCCCACTTTGTCGAAATATCCACCTTCCTCTTCCCGTCTCTCACTCGATGATGCTGGATTCAGCCGACCGCCATCGAATCAACGTGATGAGCCAACATCCAACGGGAACCTTCCTTTCAAGAATAAGCTTGCAATACTGAGTCAGGAATTCCGACGACCCGACAGTAGCCATTCACGCACTCCTGAAATTCAAAGACCGACACCGCCTCGATCGTATTCCTCTCTTGGGGTCAGTACGCAGTTACCATCTCGTCGGATTGGTGTTGAGGGAGTGTTTCATCGGCCTGACGATACCTCTATTTCTCAGCCAAATCTTTCGCGGACAATACGACCGAGACGGAGTCATAGTGTCGATCTACAACGTCCGTCACACTCCAATGTGCCTGGACCAGGGGTGGAAGTGCGAGGTGGTGCAATGCGCTCCACGAGTCGTCTTGGCGGAGCGCCACCGGCGGACTTCCTTGGTCCAAGAACCTACAGAGCATTCAAGGCTGCAGGATTGCTCGGAAAAAAGTCTTCCCCTGATTCCCCTGATATGCCCCTTCATTCTTCAGGGGAGATTTATAAGAGACCACACACCGCTTTCTCTGGGTGGTCGCCTGGCGCTAGGTCTACCTCAACTCTTGGATATAGAGGTGATACAAGAGACGGTCACTCTCGCCACGGTTCAAATGGGGAACCCTATTATCGCCCTGATTCAACGCCCTCGGAGCCTGCAAGTCACTCAAGCTCTAATGGTACCAGCCGTAGGGTGTCACCCCATTTTGGGGCAGAGTCTCCTGTCTCATCCTCTCGTACGCTTTATTCTAGCTCTCATGGTCAACCGTACAGCATGCAACCCCACCCGAATGCGAATGCAAACACTATCCAAGCTCTGAGGGATCGGCATGAACTCGAAACCGATGCGCTACTTGTGGCCCTCGGAGAGGCGAAGAAGAGCGTCAGAGAGCTTAGCGAGGAGAATGGCCTCTTGCGGTCTATCAATGAGGAGTTGGAAGCATATGTGACGGAGCTGGAAAGTAGGCTCATGGGGTACGAGAAATACAGTGATCAGGAGAAGTACGTAGGCAAGGTAGAGCGAAGGAGAAGCGTCACGCCACGGGGGCCTCTGCCGTTCCTAGATAAGGAAAGTGCGATGCGTCCTGCTTCGGCTCGTATATCAGCAGAGGACACATCGCCTCGTATGAATGGCTCGCGAACAGGAAGCATCAAAGATACGCGTACCCGTCTAGAACAGCTGAGATCACGGCGACGAGCTACTTCTGGAGCTGTCTCTCGCTTTGAAACCGATGACGAAGATGGTGCATCGGGGGACGTCGAACAGGACGTCGAGCTGACGATGAGCAAAGAACCCAATCTTCCCCCTCCACTTAGCAAGCGAAATCTCACCTCCCATGACGTTGCGACAATCATGAAAACCAAACCCAGATCCTCATCACAAATTACCGCTACAACCACAAACACAATGACGACTACTAACTCCGCTTCAACGAAAACGAAAACGAAAACGGGCAACCACACAACATCCCGACACCGCTACGCACCCTCTGAATCTTCTTTTACCTTACCCCAAATATCTGGTGTAGGGACGACTTCCATGCTGATGAATGAACAAAGTCCCGTCATGAATGATGTCCTCGCTACCACTTCTTCGGCGGACGAGTGGTCCGATGATCGAGATACCCACCCCGGGAATGAAGGCGGGGTTGCTTTTCGTGCTCGGTCGCGACTGGCTGCTACTCCACCGATCGTTGCTTCTTCGCCCACGGAGTCTACGTTTAACAGGACCCTGTCACCTCCACCTTCTCCCGGGAGCAGTCTTAACTTACGGACAGAAGACGAGATTCATCTGAACGATTTAATCAGCATCAGTTTGCGGGACGACTGACGCTGACATCGAGAATTAAATGTCTCTAAATGGACGACATTTCCCCAACGTATTCGTTCTTGTTCGCCTGTTTACATTCGTCTTCGTACCTATATTCGATTACTCGATTTTTCTTTATTTATCTTTTTCTTTGTTTTTTTTTTTTTTCTTTCCTTTCGTGTTTTACTATTTCAGGGTTTGGTACATTCATATACAGTTTATTACACGGCTTCTCTTGCTTTCACCTAACATTCACACTTTTGAAAAAATATTCGCTTTCTCATCGTGTTGCTTTCGTGGATGACCTCACCTCACCCTTTTTTCGACGTTGATTCTGACCCAAAAATCTGTAACGTACGTACAAAGTATGATAATCATGACGGATATATGAATTTTAAACTGAGAACTACTTTGGGTGTCTAACAACATCTTGCCATTGCACCCAGGTACTTTAGTCTGATAAAGCTGATTAAAAAGACAAGATATCAATCATGAGAGGTAAGATCCCCTGGGCCGCTATCCACGGCCATAGGTTTCGGGAAGCACCGCATCCCGTCCGATCTGCGAAGTTAAGCCGAGTACCGTTCAGTTAGTACTATGGTGGGGGACTACATGGGAATCCTGGGTGCTGTGGTTTTTTTGTTTTTTGTTTTTTTTTTTCCCTCTCCTTCCCCTCCTTCCCGTCTCAGGTTCAAGCTCATCCCTGGGCTGACATGACGCGCGAGAGTGGACAGTCCACACCAATCACACCATGCAGTAGGATTGCAGTGTTCTTCAGGGGCACAATTATGCATAACATTCCCATCTCGGCCGGGGGAATAATATAATCTATACGATCGATATCGGAGCTGGCCCTCGACTTGTTATAGTTTAGCCTGAGCTCAGCGACTCGACACCATGCTAACGTGCATCGATCGACACGCATGAGGCCTCCCAAAAATACTGCGAGTCGTCGTACTTGCCGTGCTAGCTCGACCCCCCCCCCCCCCCCCAAAAAAAAAAAGTCCCATAATGCCATCTTATATAGTTCTTTGTCCCAACTGCTATGCATGATTCTGCATGACACACATCTTACCCCAGTTATATAACCCACTGACCATCCACTCACGAGCATCGTTCTGAATCTTCTGATCATGCATGGAACATGTTATTGACCGATCTCACAGCCAACATTCGCCAAAGGGACCAGCATTTTCAATCTACAGCTACATCGACTTGAGTGGCCGGTGCCCACACTGGACAATTTGGCCGACTTGGAACCATTAGGCCATCGTTCAACAATTCAAATACTGCCCTATAGCCCCGTTTGCTCGCTCGCTCGCTTGTACACCCGATCATCGGGCAACCCTCCGCGTCGTGTGCAACTTTCGCAGGCTTTATTTGGTCGTAATACTGATAGAGCCTAATGTTAAGATATATATAGATTAAAGTCGAAATGACATGCCAATTGATTTCCTGCGTAAGTACCCGGTGTACTGCAGAGCTAGAGAGCCCCGAAACCGCGGCGAATTACGGGAAGGTTATTTTCAGCTTGAAGGGGGGGGAAGTACGGGAAGCGGGGATGGAAGAGCGAAAAATGCCTAGCTAAGCTTAGAAGAAACTAAGACCCGGGCTAAAAGGGTGCAAACAAAACAAATATCCCCCCCTTGATGTGCTACCTGCTGCTGCTGCTGTTGAAACGGAAATGGATCAAGGAATCGCCCTTGCACTGGTATCACGACTGCACTCGTTGATATATAAGTTATCTACAGGATCATCAGTGTGTTCTATATATGGCGGTACGACGTTCATCATGCTTTTGTTTTTGTTTCTTTTGGACGTATATGTATATCTTTGAGTCGAAGAAGTATCAACGGATAGGTTAGGGACTGATAATCAGCTCAAGCTCCATGAAAAGATGTATACATTATTGTGTCAACGATCTTCATCCGAAAGGCGGTGTGTTCGCCCGAACATTTGGAATTGCCACGATAATTTAAAAATATAAATATATATGGGGAGAGACAGACACTCTTGCTTTGGAAAGAAGAATTACTTATGTAAGTAAGAAAGTGGGTGAGAGAGAGTCAGAGACGTGTGATAAAGGTCAGAGGTGGGAGCGGGTAGATCCAGGGATGGTCAGGTACAATAGTACTTGGCGACCAAGTACATACCCCCTCCTTATTTTTGCCCTGGTGAGACCGTACGGGGAAGTAAATGGCATGCATGCATGCGTGGGAGTATTTATGCCCATGGCCAGACAGGAGTCATTCCAGACGATGGAGAGAGACATATAAGTAATAGCGCTAACAATAATTGTAACAAAGGAATTGAAAGCTCATGTTTGGTACCGTGACTTCATGTATCTTTTGTTCAAACTCCGAGAGATGGCTGATACTCACGTTAATTTTGGCACTGCTGAAGCACTCGAAACTGCGCGCGACTCCAACGAGGAAACTGCCCGGTGGCTGCCTCATCATAGTAATGCGATGACGACATCCCTTTGCGAGATGTTATGAAACAACGTGCTCATATTGCCCTTCGAAACGACAAAGCGAAACAGATTGACGTTGTGGAAGGAACGAGTCGTCACATGTGACGACCAGTCAATTCTGAAAATACGAGTCAGCCGGAAGAATTAACTGGAGACGTTTTTCCTTGGGATCAAAAGGCGGAGTCCATGAAGTTACGAGTCCGGTTGCCCATTAATATAATCATGAGTAGCGGAGGATTCTCTTGATAATTGTCATAGGTTAGCCATTGGATTATAATGGCTTTGCGAATTGGTGTGTGTGTATGTATGTGTAGGGCTGAGGTTGGGTATCATCAGAGGATGACCGGCGAGAGATGATGCCTTGAGGGACTACATGACCATATATACCAGTCGGGGCATGTACAATGTGGCCTGTTTATGTCTAACCGATCGGATAAACAAGTCCGAAAGCAAAAGCTGGGTTATCATGCATGGGTTGGGTTGAAGCGTTCCAATAGATGATCAGCCAATAAACAGAGTGGTCATAGATATGAAATGTACATCAATATACCGGAGTACCAAAAATGAGGTCACTTTCCAGATTGGGTGTTAGCGTGGGGGCGTGCAGAAGTACCGTAAAGCTCTAGGCAAAGGATCTACTAAAGTAGATGTAAGCTCCGCGGTCAGATGATAGCAGGCCGATTCGATCGAGTTACTCTTTGCCTCTCTTTGTTCTTTCCTAGGTGATAGTAGGGCCAGTTCCCCTTCGCTTGCAGGCAGGCATACAGACCAGGAAAGCATTGGATACGAGCATTAGAGATTACATTCCAACAATATTGCCATGTTGGAAAAAATGAATTGAGCGGCGTCGGCAAAGTATTTCAAATAAGCGAAATGAGTCAATTGACAAATCCAATTGAATTTACCCAATTCAATCGGGCATCACTCCGAGTTTAGGTCGCAAGCCACAAAAAAAAGCGGAACCGCCACAACAACCACTACATGGTTTCGAGACAGAGCGCAAGCCGCGTTATCCGTCTCCCTTGCCCTTTTTGCTATATACTGGGTTGTTCCATCACGGAGCAAAACACCACCAGGGAGGGGGGGGACCAATGCCAACGCCGAAAAGGGGGGGGGTGGGGTGGGAGGCATGGGGAAGCGCCGTAAAAAGGCGATCAGATCGCACTTTTTGAGTCCCCGGATCATATCCTTCGCGGTTTATGTGGCTGCGCAAAGGAAAAGATGAATCCTATAATCTCCCTTTGATCATAACTTTGGCTCTCTCTCTCGACAACACTCCTCCCCTCAGCTAGTCACTCTCATTCCATTTGGGGCTTTATCTCGAGCAGATAGTAACTGGACCGTATTTCTTTCACTTATATAGCCTCGATTTCCAGTCAATCCCCCAACCCCCAACCCAACCCTTTGACACCCATATTCCAGCGGGGGAATCATCAATATGCCATTATCTTCCATACCACTTCCTCCTCCGCCACTCATCCATGGAAAGAACTCCAAGACTTTCTCTTCACCGCCTATGGACGGTTCACTCACCGTACCCCAATTGATCGACTGGCAAGCCGAACACAGTCCTAACCATCCTCTCTTCGTCTTCGACGATGGTCCCAATAAAGTTTGGATCACCTGGTCCAAAGTTCGTATCGCCATCGAAAGAGCTGCTCGTATCGTTCGTGCTTTGAACGTCCCTAGACTCGGTACTTCCAGCAAGATCATCGGTATCCTCGCATCCATAGATTCCATCTCTTATTTCACCTTGTTTCATGGTATCATGCGTGCAGGGTACATCCCCTTTGCACTCAGTCCACGTAACTCTCCCTCTTCGGTCGCTCATTTACTCACAAAAACGAACGCGACTCATGTGTTCGTCAGTGGTGATCCGAATATGCAAGCTCTTTGGGCTGCTTCTGAAAAGGTTCTTCATGGAGGTGGTCAGCTGGTGTGTAAGGCCGTTATGACGCCTTTTTATGATATGTTGTATGAGGATAAACCGGATGGGCGTACGATCCCTGCACCTGGTGCAGATCTTAACTCCACCGGAATGTTACTCCATTCATCGGGTATGTCCATTCGTTTTTCCATTTCATCCTTACCTTGGACTGAACACCTTCTTACCTCTGGGAAACCCACTTGTTTTTATATTTTTATTGCAGGTTCCACCGCTTTCCCCAAACCCATCTCGATCCTCCACCGTTCAATCGTCGAATTCATCCGAATCCCATCCTACGGTGAACTAGACCTATGTTCCAAAATCATCGGTGCCACAACTCTACCCATGTTTCACGCTCTCGGTTCGATGAACGCCATTCAAATGATCGGATGCGGTGCCATCCTGTCCGTTTTCAAACCTGAAGAAAGACCTTCGTTCCCTTCTCCTGAAAGGGTCATCGAGAGTTTGTTGAAGACCCCCGTTTATATCTTGTTTACTATGCCGAGCTTTTTGGAGGCTTGGAGTTTGAAGAGCGAGTGGATTGAGGTGTTGAAACGGTCGAGGATCGTGGTGAGTTTGTGGTGGTGGTTGTTATGTTGAGTTTTTTTTTTTGGGCAATGCTTGACATAAATTAATAGGCTTACTCTGGTGGACCGCTCAGCAAAGTCGTAGGGGATAGCCTCGCCGCAGCAGGCGTTCCCGTCTACCCTTTCTACGGAATGTGCGACTGCCCCTCTGCTTTTTTTAGACTGTTCGACATGAAGCTGACTTTTTTGTTTTTTTTTTTTGTTTTTCTAGTACCGAAACTGCAGGCGTGAACATCTTCATCCCTGCAAAGCTTGATCTCGAAGCGTGGGAATACTGGCGTTTCTCGAAACACATCCACGTTTCGTTAAAACGACAAGAGGATAGCGATGCGGTAGAGTTCAGAGCTCTGGTCAGTTTTTTTTTTCTCTCTCCTTTTCACCCCCACCCCCGGGTTGTTTTCGGAAGGAAGCGCTGACATGTGTGTATTTGTTTGTTCTATTATCTGTTAGCGTGGTCCAACGCATACGCCCTCTGGGATAAACTCTGAATTCGATGGAGAGATGGGCCTTTCGACCAGTGATTTGTTGTTGGAACATCCGACGAAGAAGGGGTATTATAGCATTTATGGACGTGCAGATGATCAGCTTATGTTGAGCACTGGGGAGAAGGTTTGTATGTGACATCACTCTACTACTGCTCAATCTCACAATTTCTTTTCTTTTTTCTTTTTTTTGGCTTCCTCGGTGCATACAGACAAATCCTGGTCCGCTAGAGGCTATCATCTCCAGGGATCCACTCATTCAAGGTTCAGTGATGTTCGGTCGTGGGAAACCACATAATGGAGTCATCATCACTCCTGCCCCACACCTTTCCCTCGATATCAGTGATAAAGGGAAAGTGGCTGCGTATATAGATTCAATTTGGTGAGTTGCAACTTTATTTTTCCGGCTTCCTTAGTTTTTTTTTCTCAAGAATTGGTTTGTTGTTGCCTTTCATATTACTAGGGCTTCGGTTCAGCTAGCAAATGAATATGCACCGTCGCATTCGAGATTATTCAGGGAGGTACGAAAAAAATTGAACACGGCTCTGCGCTCCAGATTTAATTATTTTTCATTTTCATTTTCTGTAGATGATCATCCTTGCTAAACCTGAGAAGCCTTTCACCTTCACCGGAAAAGGGTCCATTCGAAAATCAGCCGTTATCAAAGATTACGATGAAGAGATAGAAACCGTTTACAAAACTCTCGAGAAAGCGGTTTCTTCAAAGGCTAGTGTCAACCCTCCGACCCAATGGACCAAAGAAAGCCTGCATACGTTTGTGCGGGATGTCGTCACTGGCGTGATGGGGGCCAAGATTGGAGATGATCAAGATATATTTCAGAATGGAAGCGACTCCCTTCAGGCGACCTTCATGCGGAATTCTATCGTGACCGCTCTTCGTGACACGAAGGCAAAGGACGTTAAAGGGGAACTCATCGACACTTCGTTGTTCTCTTCCGGTTTGATCTATCAAGCACCTACGATCGACTTGCTCGCTGAAGCTCTCTATGGGCTTTTCGATCCTTCCTCAGTTTCCTCCACGACTGACTTTGCCGAGAACAAGATCGCTGAGCTCCGAGCGTTCGTTGATCGATACGCTTCGGATCTACCCATTCACAAACCAACGGATCCTGCTCCGGGTTCGGGTCCAGGGAACAGCGAGGTGATCGTCGTCACTGGAACGACGGGTGCGTTGGGTACTGCGATATTGGCGCAGTTGACGAAGATGTCGACGGTCGTTAAAGTTTATGCGTTGAACCGGGTCAATTCGAAAGGTGGGGGGAAGACGCTTCGGAAGAGGCAGGAGGAGAGTTTGATCGAGAGAGGGTATGATCCGAAGGCGGTGTTGGGGTCGGGTAAGGTTGAGCTTTACGAGATTGATCCGATCTCTTGGGATCTTGGGCTGGACGGTTATGCGTATGAGACTATACGGCATACTGCGACTACCATTATCCATACAGGTGGGTCGTTATTTCGATTTTGATATCTTGGACCTTCCCCCCGCTTTCTCGTACTGATTTCCTTTCTCAGCCTGGCGTGTGGATTTCAATCTTGCCGTTTCTTCGTTCGAACCTCTTTTCCAAGGTCTTCGATGCCTCGTCGACCTCTCTCTCTCATCTTACCTTCCAACCCCTCCAAAAATCCTCTTTGCGTCCTCCGTCTCTGTGCTTGGCACGATCACTTCTGATGCCCCCGCAGCGGAAGTACACGTCAATGACCCTCGCACCGTGTTGAACGCCGGTGGTTATGGAGAGTCCAAGTGGGTTGCGGAACAGATCCTTGCTCGCGTAGCGCAGGAGACGCCACTCAAACCGGTCGTCGTGCGCGTTGGACAACTCAGTGGTGGGAAGAATGGCTCGTGGAATACGTCGGAGTGGATTCCCGCTATTGTCAAATCGGGTGAAGTCGTAAGAGCTCTTCCTGCCGTTAATGATGTGAGTCTTTTTCTTTCATTTTTCCGCCGTTGCTGATGGATGCCATGGGGTCCTGACGTTTGTTGTTGTTTTTTTTCGGGGAATCGAAAAAAAAATTAACAGAGAGTATCGTGGCTCCCGATGAACGTTGCTGCTTCGGCTTTCATCGATTTCCGTAACACTACGAGCGGTCTAGTTCACCTTTCTCATCCTTACCCTACAACTTGGACTGAGATCTTCTCCCCTATCGCCAAAGCTCTTCGTGTGCCCCTCGTCCCTTATTCCCAGTGGCTCGAACTTCTCGAGAAGGATCTTGCCAACCCCTCGCACTCCGAAGTTGAAGCTGCGACTGCCAACCCGGTTTTACGTCTTATCGATATGTTCCGTCCTTTCAAGGATGGGATGCCCGTTACCAAGGCGCGAGAGGCTATGGGCGTACCAGTACTTTCTAACGTTAAAGCCGTGAAGGCTAGCCCTGCGCTTCGACGGGAGAACTTGAGGAGTCTTGGTAAGGAGGATGCTTTGGGTTGGTTGAGGTATTGGAGGGAGAAGGGATTCGTTACGAGTGAACTGCACCTTGAGGAGGATGCGGCACCATGGGTAGGAGAGAAAGCGTCCATTCGTCTGACGACGACGACAACTGAGCAGGTAAAGGTAACGCCGCCAGAAGCTGAGTATAGCCTGCCATGGATAGCGGTCGGGTTGTTATGGGCGGCTACTTACTGGATTAATGTTTAATGTTCGACCCTTCTGTCGTGCGGACATCGTGATAAATATTTTGATCTCAGCGTTCTCTATTGAAGCATTCCTCTGCAGAGCAATCATCCTCGTTTGGATACCAATACTCTCTAACTCTGTGCATTATTCTTCCCCCTATTTTTGCAGTGTATTCAGTAGCTAATCCTTAACTCGATCCCGCATATGTAGTCCCCTGGCTAGGTTGTAAGACTGGCGACGTGCACAAGTCATCACTTTACGGATGCAAACTATTCCAGAATGAACTAACCCTCTCACTTTGGACACGACTTGATCTAGCCAATGCTACAGCCTGAACTATGTAGGGTACGCAGTAAAGAAGACATTCCCGGTTTCTAAAATTTGATATTTGTACTCAGTGAGAAGTGAGAGGGGCTTTTTTGTTTTGTGCCCGGAAGTGGTTCTTCTTTCAATGCTTGTCACTTGGGAACCGCGACTGAAAATTCAGTAGTGAAATTTTGGCGTGCATGGAATGGCGAAATCAATTCATTCGGAATTTGCCGAGGCCGAAGTGGGAAAGCACCTAAGCGCCCACACCCTTTCCCCTCCAACATTGCACATTATGCCTCTAGGGAAAAAGCGTAAGCAAGCAAATAACCTTGGAAAGTACTCTCAGAAGGTAAGGTTCACCATATATTGTTATTGGGTCATGATTCATTACTTTTGTTTCTTTACTAGAAATTACATGTAGACCCATCTCTGACTACAGAGTCAATCCACACAACCCCCCTAGAGCACACACAGACTGTTGGGGACAATGTACTTCTGGATTGGCCTGATGCTAATGTCAATTCCAACTCATATGATGGTGCAAACAGCGATGCAGACAGCAACACAGACCTTGATGATGTCATATCCATACAATCCCGACCTCCGCTCTGGGCTCCCGGAACTCCGAACTCCGACTTCCAGAGCCCTACTTCCCTTCCGTCACCTTCTCCTTGCCGACTCCCAAGAGGTTATCCCACCTCCGGCTCAGACACCACCTTCGGTCCGACTCCAGAACATTCCGGGTCCGACCCCAACCTCGACACCTTCCAGACGAGTATGCAACACCTATGCTCCCAACTCCGGACCTCCGCTCCAGAATCCCGTTTGCGTCTCTGTCTCCGGAACCTCCGGTCTTAGCTCCGACCTCGGACTTTGACCCCACCTCCGCTTATACCCATTGTATTGGTTAGCTCATTCCATTTAATTACCTTTGCCAATATTCCGGAGTTTAACCTCCGAGTTCGGACTTTCCGGACTTACTCCGGACTTTGCAACTATTGCATTGTCCATTTCAATTCCGCTATTCTCCCTCATTCCTATTTGGGCTGCTGCTTCCTTTCTATTCAGTCAGCTAGCCATTCCCCACTCCCAACCTCCTTCCTTCCTCCTTGGGCCTTGGCCCTTCATTCCTCCTTTGGGAAACACCATTGAGTCAAACTCTTGACCCTCGGTGTTGTTCCTCTTTCCATCTCCCTTTGTCTCCTTTTGTCCTACCCTTGTTCCTTTTGATTCCGGACCCCTCCTTATATACAATGTACCTAGTAACTTGTAACCTCAGTCCGAAATTGACTGGAATTCCCCCCAAGAGACTTTCCCTCTGCTAGATCCGAAATTAGGGACCCCCAGGACAACCAGCAATGGCACAGCACTCCGCCTGAGTCGCTGAGGCTGAGGTCCTTCCATGATAAGTCTCCGATTCCATTCCGGAGTCGTCCGAATCCGCACGTTCTAACAGATGAAACAATCAACCCAGCAATATCCTTAAAGAATGCATTTGCCCAGTGCCACAATACTGAGGAACAGCTTGCTCAGTTAGCCAATATCTGGGGAAAAATCCTGGGCAACAAAGTCACATGTGCCAGGACCACCATAAATGGTGTACTGTACCTACATGACTGGGAGCCTGTCACACATCACACTGGCCTTGTGGCATGGCTCAAATTGGTCCTTTGTCACATGTCACACTGGGTCTGAGGCTCTGGGTCCCTTGTCATGCTGTGAGTACAGTTTCAGGGTGGCTGTGACATTTTCAATTCAATTTCCAAAAAAGGCAATTATACTTCATCGAAAAATCACCATTTGACACTTGTTGCAGATTTTTGCAAGAGGGAAATTTTTGAATGTTCAAATTCAGAAATATATGCTGCCTGCTTATTTTGTTGTGCAGGAAAATGCCAACTCATGTGTCATGCCTCTGGAGTCCACCAGTCCAGGTATGTCATGCCTTGAAGGGCTGCTTGTGGCAGGCTTGTCAGGGACAGCTCCGAAAGCGGCGAGGTCCCGGCGTGCGGGACTCGGTGGGACGGATGACGGCTATGCGTAGCGGCGATCCCGTCGCGGGGTGAGCGTCCCCGACCACTTAGTCTGAAGTGGAAATGTGAGTCATCATTAAAGGGGAATGCTACACTACTTGCCTGAAGTGGAAATGTGAGAAGAAGGCTACTTCTTCGGTTCCCACTCCAGCTGTTATTATATACATGCGGGAATGATCACGTGGGGTGCGCCACGTCACCCTTGCACACAGCCATGGCTCTCCGGGTGCTTCCACGGAAGATCCCGAGAGGGCCCGCTGAGGGTGCAAGGCGAGCGCGGTGGCGGTGGCGGCGGTGTAGGGATGTAAGATACAGGAGGGGAGATGGGCGTGTGCGCCGATGATACATTGAGCAGAGAGAAAGGTGGTCCGTGTAAGAGAAAGAGAGAAAGAAAGAAAAGAGGAGAGGAGAACAGGAGGAAGGAAGAGGGAGAGGAGGGAGAGGCGGTGCGGAGCGGGGAGGCGGAGCAGGGATCGGGCAGGGCGTGTCGGGGCATGCCCTGACAAGGCTCTCCCTTGTCACACTCAAACCCAAGGCGGCTCCTGGTCATGTAGGTACAGTACACTCGGAGCACAGCTGGTACCACGATGCAGCAATCAAGAGGACTATTAGTGGGAGGATCCAGGAGATGCAAAAAAGGACAAGGATTGACAGGAAGAAATGCACAATCCCAATCCTTGATTTTTTCAACCCTCCTCCAACTTCCAGCAAGGAATCTGGGCAGTGTCATATCCATACCAACTCCACCCAACCTCCAACCTACTCTGCCACCGTTCCAGTTCACCTCTGGTTCGTCCTCTCCCTCACCTCCACCATATCCTCCAGTATACTTCTGGTCCACCTCCGCCTCCAATCTCTGGTACCTTCTCCAGTACCCCATATCCTCATCATAGAAGTTTATTAATATTTCTATCTACCCAACATTACTACAGACCTCCTAGGACCTCTGCCAACCCTGCAAAGGTTTTCCCATTATCCAATAGCTGTCACTAATTCTCCCCTGCACTTACCCACTCCACAGTGCTCGATAAGGCAATTCTCTCATGAGCTCGCCAACCCAGCAAGTGGGTAAGTCCATCTTGGGTTTTCCCTTTCTTTTCATATTTGTCTTGTATTATGTATGTATATATGTAAGTCATGTACCATAGTTGATGGCACTTCAGTGCAAAATCGACAACTAGATCCTGTCAGGGCACGGATGGTTATCCAGCCAGCCCAGACCCTATCTGGATAGGTTGAGTACCTGTAAGCCGATATCTGCATGTGATTTGCCATAGTTAGAATGCAGGTTGTATTCAATGCACTATTTCCACTATCGCATCACCCTTTACCCGTTATTGCCCCCTTTTCCGCATGATCTATCTTCCTATCTCATGTTGCTTCTCTATCGGCTACCATGTATTCCCAATGTAGCTGTGCTCTTATGAGTTGCGGAACTCATGTATATAAGGCCTTATCACCAGCTGGGTTGGCTCCCCAGCTTTAACAATGACTAGTTTCCTGGAGAGATCTTTACATGCAAACTGATGCACAGACTCTGACAGATCCCCCCAGAGTTTGTGCCCCCTTGTTCTGAAGTTAAGGACCCAACACTAGCGTTACCGAACATTGGTACAGCACTCCTCTCTGAGTCGCTGAGGCCATTGTTTCCATTGTCACCATCCATCAGCTATTTTCCTTGTTTTTTGTTCTGATTTCTCTTTTTTTCTATATATACACCCAGTTTGTGTTGTACTTACAGTTGTTGGACCTGTCATATCCATCCCTGGCCATCGACTTCCGGTCCCTCCGATCCCTCTGGTCTACCTCCGCTCCTTCTTCACCAACCTCGGAGCTCCCATATTCTGCAATCCCCTCGGTACCCCTCGATGGTCATCACCCCCTCCTTTCAATTTATTACCTACACCTCCCTAAGTACGGAGCCCCGAAGACTTCCGGACAGCTCCGACGTCCGCTAGCGCACTCCCACCTCCGCTGGGCAATACACTCACCTGCCCTGCGGAGCCCACCTTTGGGCCTATCCCTCCTTTCCGTTTCTGGGTTATCTCCTGCCTTTCCGTTAACCCCGTAACCCGACTCGTCAGTAATATTCAGTCGGCTAATGTTTAACCCCATTAGCTCCGCTCCGTTTGGCTCCACCATTTGCGGACCCGTCTTCGCTGTAACCATATATATATCCAGCTTGTACATAGGTTACACTTCAGTAATAAAATCGACTAGAGTTAACCCCCTTCAGTTCTGGTTGCCAGTTAGTAAGTTAGGGCATGGACGTGTTACTAGGCACAGCGCTCTTGGCATAAGTTGCTGAGGCCGAAGCCCTCCGCCACAGAGACTTTCCTTCGTCTCAAACCTGGTCTCTGACAGGACCCCTCTTCTGTGCTACAAAGACTGTGGGTGTTGAGCGACCCTTCCATATGTTTAAAGGGCTTAGTTTGACTCCCTGACAACTGTCCAAGAAGGACCAGGGGTGAGTGCTAAGTTTGAGAGAATTTATTAGTATAGTGCTCTTGCACCGGGACCATGTGCAGCCTTACCAGTAGTAAGATTTTCTTTGCCCCCCTTTTTCTTTTCTTGTGTGCTGCTGGGTTACATCCCTAGCACACTGTCAGAGATGGGATTATTGTCGGAGTCGGAAGTACTGTCAGAGTCGGAACACTGTCAGGAGGTGGATAGAAGACGGATTGGGTTCTGTCTGAAATGAGGTCGGAGGTGATGCAGAGGTCTGTTGGAGTGCATGCGCAGATATGCGGGTGGAAATATGCAGCGCATCCGGAAGTGCTGTTCAAGGTTAACAGAGTGGGATCGCAGTGTCAGGGCACACCCGCCTGACCCGGTTCCACCCAGGCCCACCTAGGCCCACCTCACCCGCTCACCCGCTCACCCGCTCCTGTTAGATACTGATCCGGGGTCGGGCACCGAAGGTCGCCGATGCGGACCGCTAAGGGCCGCGATGGCCGTGATGCCTCAGACAAGGCCCGAGGGTAGGGCATTTGGCCTCAGCAACTCTAAAGGGAGTGCTGTGCCCCCTAGTTGTCTCTTGGCCCTCATTTTGAACTTACTGGGGCTGCCTTGTTGGGGTCAGGGCTTGGGGTCGTGGTCAAGTCGATATTAGAGCTAAGGTACTATAATGTAGTATACAGGATATATATATGAAGGTGAAATGAATAGAAGCGGACCCGGGCCGAAGGCCGAAGGGTCCGGAAGCAAATAGGAACAAAGAGCGGGGTTGGCCGCACTGCGGCCGGCAATGACCGAGGGTCAAAACAAACAATAACAGATAAATAAACGAAGGGGTGTAGGGCCGCGATAGCGGTGATGGTATCATAGCGGAGTAGGCGATGTCGCGGAGTCACGCTAGGTTGGTACCAGAGGCGGACTCGGGGCAGGGAGGTCGGTGTGGCTGTGGGGGAGTCAGCCAGGTGCAGGGGAGCCTAGGGGCAAGCGGGGAAGTGAGCAGGGGGTCCTCAGGGAGGATAGGGCTGAGGTCGGGGCTCGCGCTCACGCTCGCATAGCGGTAACGGGCTCGGGCAGCATCGGGATGGGCGGCTAACGGGCCGGAATGCACGGCCGTGACAGTATCCCCCTCTTAGGGCCTGAACCCTTGAAGGCCTAAGAGTGGCAGTGTCAGGAATGCCAGCTGCAGCACAGCACCAGAGTCGGGGGAGAAAACGGTGCGAGATGAATGCTGCCGACATCTCGGCAGGGGCTTGGTGTCCATAAAAGGACAAGGGCATGGTACCTTGCTTCGGTATCCAGTCAGCGCATGTGGCACCGAGTCCGGAATCAGCAGAGGGTACGGCAGAGGGTGTCCCACAAGGAGACAAAGTCGAATCGCCGAAAACGGCAATGTGGAAAGATCGAAATGCCTCTAGCGGAGGCGAAGTCGGCGCGGGATTGGTGTGGTACTCAAAATGGAAGTCGGAGATGAAGTCGGCGACGATGGCTGGAGGCTCAGGGGAGAACAAGCTGGTGTACTTGTCTTTTAACTCAAAACTTGGCCTTCCTACCATGCTTCCTATGAGTCCAGGGATCCGGGTGCGGAAGTGAAGTGGCCTAATCGGCCCGAAGGGTGCGGAGGTGACAGATGGAGGCCGGTTGGGCAACTCACATCATGTCCAAAGGTTCAGAGGTGCGGCGCATGGAGGACAAGAGTCCCCTCAACATGACCGCGGAGTTCGGGAATGCGGCGCAGGGAGGACAGAAGTCAACTCACAAGGCAGCCGCAAGCGGAGGGGTCAAATGATGACACATGGGAGACCACACAAGTGACTCTCATAGTGCCCGAAGGAACGGAATGTGATAGAGTTCCCAGCGGTGCGGCAGTACAAGGCACGGTACCGCTGCGGCATGGTGCAAACTCATCACGGAAGGAAATGGTGAAGTTGAGATGAGGTCCTCAGAGTGCTGGAGCACAGGCCGAGGGTAGACTCGCTCAGGGTGTTCAGGTGGTTAGCCTGCCAAGGGCCGGGGATGCGCAGATTTGCGGCATTTGGTATGAGTAGTCGGCTAAGTGGCAATGGCGTGACCAGGAGAACGGGGATGAAGGACTCGGGATCCCATTCGGTGATGGCACAAGGAGGTACTCCATGCCGCTATGTTGATTACGGCGAAAGCGGCGATAGCGGGATTGACAAGGTGGAGTCCTATGGCCATTTGGGGAGTCGGAGTCAACTGGGGGAGCCAAACAGGCTCGGAGTGGGGTAACTAGGCACGGGTGGAGGAGGGCAACTAGTCCTCAACTGGGTTACAAGGACCCGGCCAGGTGGGTTTGGAACCGGTGGTGTTGTATCATCAGATACGGACTCAAGGGTCATTGGGGGTTGGATACGAGAGTCGGCCATACTAGGCCTTCTGCAATGACTGACCTATGAGGTCGGGAGAGGACTATAGGGGTGTGCACTCAGGCACCGAAGGGTCGGGAGTGGATAGGGATGATGTCCAGGTGGTGAGGGAGGATCGGCGTCACGCACGGGCTTGCTCCAGGCTAAAGCGGTGCGGTGGTTGACAGGACGACGCGGCGAAAACTCCTAGGTGAAGACTGGTCATAGGCCACAAGTTGTTAGGCGCGGAGTCCTTATCCCCCTCTTAGGGAAGACGTCCCATCGTCTAACTATGCTTATAGGCCGGTACCGAGTCTCCTGGGGACAGCGGCGGAACATCACAGTGTCGGGATAGTACTTCAACTATTGGACAAGCCAAAATAGCCGAAGCCGGAGGGTGCGGCGCTATCAGGATAATTCCCAATAAACTACCACAGGTGTTCGGGATTCCACACACAGGCGGAATAGCAAATTTTCTTCCTCAAAGTCGGTCCTAAGGTTAAACCCATGATAAAACATGGTATACCCTCGGAATCGGCAGAGAGGTCGACGGCGATGGGGTGCTAGCCCATAATGCAAGGCCGGTGACGGCCAGATGGGGTGTCAACCAGCGGTGGTGAAGCCGGTGACCGGTAATGTTGGAGGGTGCGGGGCTTGGGTGCTCAAATGCTCAGGATGTGTGGCCCATAACGTCAATCACTCAACGGAGTATCATGACTAGAGTCCGTGATCCTAGCGGTAGAGTGGTGAAGTCCGGCAAAGCGGAGTAGAGTCGGAGTGGAGTGTTTGGGGTTGGGCTGGGTGCGCCGTTATCTAGATGCGGTATGTTCAAGAACCATTGCTCAACGGAGCCTCAGGGAGAACAACCTTGTCATAAGACAAGTGGGATCGCGGCCCATCCAACAAAGTTGATGACAAAGCATCGGCGAAATAGGCGAAGGTGGGTAGTCAACCAGCGGTGTGATGGCCGAAGGTGACGGGGAAAACTAAGGGTGGAAGCGGCACAAAGGCGCGCTATCCCGGGATGGTATACCTAGCATTACTAATGGAATGCCTGGTGGTCAAAGTGCATA